CCTCCTCCTCCCCCATCCTCCTCCTTCTCTTCCTCCGCCTCCAGCAACAGCAGCATGATCAGCATCAGCATCAGCTTCAGCATCAGTTTCAGCATCAGTATAAGCATCAACAGCATGAGCATCATAACCAGCATCCTTATCAGCATCATCATCGTCATCAGCATCCGCATCCGCATCATCATCCTCAGCGTCATCATCAGCAGCAGCATCATCATCAGCAGCAGCATCAGCATCATCTGTATCAGCAGCATCAACATTATCAGCATCATCATCTCTAGCCTCAGCATCATCATCAGCCTCATCAGCAGCATCATCGTCATGAGAAGCATCAGTATCATCATCAGCAGCAGTAGCATCAGCATCATCAGCATCATCATCGTCATCAGCATCAGCATCAGCATCAGCATCAACAACCTCATCATCATCATCATCATCATCATCATCATCATCATCAGCATCATCATCATCATCATCATCATCATCAGCATCAGCATCGCCATCATCATCGTCATCATCATCAGCAGCATCATCATCATAGTCATCGTCATCGTCAGCATCAGCATCAGCATCAGCACCATCAGCCTCATCAGCAGCGACACCATCATCATCAACAGCATCATCACCACCATCATCACTATCATCATCAGCATCATCATCAGTATCATCATCATCCGCAACAGCATCAAGATCATGATCAGCATCATCAGCAGCATCATCAGCATCATCATCAGCATCAACATCATCGTCTTCACCAGCATCGTCATCAGCACCAGCAGCAGCATCGCCATCATCATCCTCATCGGCATCATCATCATCATCATCACCACCAGCATCACCAGCATCATCCTCATCGTCCTCATCAGCAAGATCATCAGCATCAGCAGCATCAGCATCATCATTATCAGCACCAGCAGCATCAGCACCAGCATCAGCAGCATCATCAGCATCAGCATCATAAGGAGCAGCAGCGGTATCATCATCATCATCATCATCATCATCATCATCATCATCATCATCATCATCATCGTCATCATCAGCAGCAGCAGCATCCTCATCAGCATCAAAACATCATCATAAGCAGCATCATTTTCAGCAGCAGCATCATCAGCATCATCTGCATCATCGTCATCATCATCAGCATCATCATCAGCAGCAGCATCAGTATCATCACCATCAGAATCATCATCAGCATCGTCTTCAGCATCACCAACGCCATCAGCATCAGCTTCAGCATCAGCATCAGCATCAGCACCAGCATCACCATCAGAACCAGCATCATCATCAGCATCAGCATCAGTATCATCACCATCAGCATCATCAGCATCAGCATCAGCATCAGCATCGTCATCAGCAGCAACAGCATCATCAGCATCATCAGCATCATCAGCAGCATCATCGGCAGCAGCATGAGCATCATCATCAGCATCATCATCAACATCATCAGCATCAGCATCGGCATGGTCAGCATCATCAGCATCAGCATCAGCATCAGCATCAGCATCAGCAGCAGCAGCATCATCATCATCATCATCATCATCATCATCGTAATCAGCATCATCATCATCATCAGCAGCAGCAGCAGCATCATAATCAGCATCAACATCAGCATCAGCATCAGCATCAGCATCAGCAGCATCATCATCAGCAGCAGCATCACCATCATCAGCAGACGCAGCATCATTATCATCGTCGTCATCATCATCAGCATCAGCATCAGCACCAGCATCAGCAGCATCATCAGCATCAGCATCATCAGCAGCATCGGCATCATCATCAGCAGAAGCACTATGAGCAGCATTATCATCATCAGCAGCAGCACCATCATCATCATCATCATCATCATCATCAGCAGCAGCAGCAGCAGCAGCATCAGCAGAATCATCATTTTCATCGTCGTCATCATCAGGCCCCAGAAGGCCCCCAAGACGGCCCAAGAAAGCCCAGGAGACCCGAAAGGAGGCCCCAAGAGGGCCCTTTGTTAAGGAGTCCCAGGGCAGATCGCTCGTCCAGGATATCATTCTCCTGCCAGTTCCTCCCTGTGTTCCCCCAGTCGTCCTGGTAACGCTTGGGGAAACCATGATTCAACACACAGCCGAGCGAGTTGCACGTCGATGATCGGCCACCAGTGGCATACGTTTCCACCCGGGCAGGAAGTCAGCGGTGGCTCGCCGTAGGCGTCTTCGACAGTCTGGCAGGTCGGCAATGAGCTGACATTGCCAAGACAGGGAAAGAGGTCGGACGAGACAGGTCCCGAAACAGAAGCCCAAACAGGCACGGGCTACAAAAAGAGGTGTAAGGCTGAGACGAGCGAGCGAGCCAGCTGCAGATACCCATTCAAGGCTCCAGGTATGATCGATTGAGTATCGCCTAACGGGTCCCCATCCCCACCGGCGTGGCCTGGGCCCCACTGGCCGATTTACTCCCCTAGATGGGGATATGGGCCGTTCCCTTCGGGTTTCGAGGGGTGTATCCCCAACTGGGGGGGTAATTTGGTGGGGGTCTCGAAGGGGATGGGGATGGGGATGGGGATGGGGATGGGGATCGGTTAAATGAAACTGACGACACTCACTCAAGGTCCCAGGTATGATCGATGGCATCGCCTGCTGGGAGGTGCCGGCAGCCAACGACGGGGCAGTCCGCGTGCAGACGGCAGCCCCGACAGTGCCTCCAGCGGGCCGAGCTGCGCCCGAGACCCGCATCGGCAGAAGCGGCAGAGGAGCTGCGACATCAGGGGTGCACGGTTTCCCCCCGGGCCGTAGGCGACCCGAGGAGGAGGAGGAGGAGGAGGAGGATGAGGAAGAGGAAGTGGAGGAGGGGGAGGGGGAGGAGGTGGGGGGAGGAGGAGGAGGAGGTGGTGGAGGAGGAGGAGGAGGAAGAATAGGAGGAGGAGGAGGAGGAGGAGGAGGAGGAGGAGGAGGAGGACGGGTCGCCTAAGCCCTTCGGAGAGACCGTCCACATCAGGAGTCGCGCAGCCAAGCGTAGAATCAGTGGCAGGCAGACCTGGCCGGCAGGTTCGACCGACCTCCGAGCCCTCCCCAAAGGCTCCGGCGAGCGCACGAAAAAAGCGCGGCACTGGCCTCGCTTAAAGAAGGGCACCTGCAGTCGGACTTGACTGGGCAGGACACGCGGGAGGACACAATACCCTTCCCAGTGCCACATTGCCATAGGCAATGGAGGAGGCATGGGTCGCGAGACACAGGGCACAAGTTGGATGTTCGTTCTGGGGACCTTCCTGGAGCCACTCGCTCCACTCGTGCGTCGAAGCTGCGTCGAACGTCCGTCGATCTAGGTCGAACCTGAGTCGAACTTGAGTCGAACTTGAGTCGAACTTGAGTTGAACTTGAGTCGAACTTGAATCGAACTTGAGTCGAACTGGGGTCGAACAGATCCGTTAGGTGGGCTCCAGGAAGGTCCCCAAAACGAGCATCTAACACAAGGGTACCCTTGATTTGGCAGGATCGACCTACCAATCAGTGCCGACTGCACACCTCCGCACACTCGCCACAGGTGCAAGACGTTGCCATCTGGAATCAAGAGCTGTGGAGGCTGGGGTCGGTTTCCCACTGCTCGTCCAGGGCAGGCTCGCGTGGTGACGACGTCAGCGCTGGTCTCTGGCAGATCGCGGCTCTCCGGCACCGCAGATCGCTCGATTGGTGGCTACTCTTGGGTCGGGCGTGTCCTCCTACAGGCGGACTTTGGGCGCAAAGTGAAGAATACTCAAAACAACAAATATTCGACAATGGCCAAAAATAGTTGGAAAAAATCGTCCCCCAGACTATGTTTTCACGAGTTCCCCTGAATATTCCCCCTGTAGAGGAACAGGCCCGAGTTAAGGCTTTTGAATGCCATGGCAATGGGCACCCTAACAGTCCTATCGTTGAATTTAAACATGTGTTTCACATGTTTGAAAAATCTTCTCCAAATGTTTATAGCATGCTTTCACATGTTAAAAAACATGGTT